AAAAGGCCTGAAGCCCCTCTACAGCTATCGACATTTATCAAAGTTCATAGAGTTTTCAGAGGTAAGTTATTTAGGAAGTGGATGCCACTCAACACAGATGCATTTTGTCTCAGTCTAACCTACTATTTTTTTTTTTTTTAGGAAGTCCACAAACTATTTTTGTTTAGCAGTCCTGGCTATTTCTCAGGTCTATCCTTTGCTACAGGGTCAGTGAGAGAACACATAGTATGAAAGCTAGGTGACATCAGTACAGATTTTGAACCAACACTCTGTGCTTGGCTTCCCATTTCAGGTGGAGATCTAGGAGGTGTATGATGTGCCTTATGTATGAAGTTTCCATTACATTCTCTTCCTTTCATCAAGACAGTATTCACTCAGTCAATTGTCTAAGAATTCATTCAACAAAAAGCAAGAGTGAATCTTGATCATTGCTCCCAAGAAGTTTAATCATTGTGCATTTCTCCAAGCCTAAAATCTGTTTTTAAATATCTCTGAAATGGAGTTGAATTTAAAACTTGCTCTTGGCTTAACAATTTCCTTTAGATTGCATGTTGAATATTTTTCTTTCTTCATGATCTGTCCAGGTTGCTCAGTGGTTAAAGTTCTGTCTGCTAGCAGTTCAAACTTAGGTGGGAGGATGATAAGGTGTCTATTTCCATTAAGATTACAGCCTGTGAAACCCTATGGGGGCAGTTCTACTCTGTTCTACGGGGTTGCTATGAGTCAGAATTGACTAGACGGCAATAAATAGTAGAATGGAAAATACTGGTGTGACTCAAAATGAATTGTATTTTCAAGGGATGAAACATGACAGTTGGCAAGGGAGTGGCATACTTGTACACAGGTGGCTTATGCGAGCCTTATTCTTGCTGTTCTTCTACGTGGGTAGATTTACAGCTCTGGTTCACTCACCTCAACTCTTACTGCTGTGGAGTCAGAACCGACTCATAGCTGGCCCTCCAGTGGGTTTTCAAGGCTGTAAACCACACACTGGAGAAGACCACCCGTTTTTCTCCCTTGACATTGTTGGTGGATTCAAATCTCCAGAGAAGTTCCGCACTTCAATTAGCAGCACAACTTTCCACCAATGAAGACACCAGGACACCCTTAGTTCACTAGGGCCCTGTAACAACTCACATGTTATTTTCTCCAGATATTCTTCTGTATCACCCACGTTCCACCACCCAGGCTGGAGTCCAGATCCTTCTTCTGGGCTCATATGCTGCCTCTGTTTTGCCCTTGTCACACTATGCTACATTTCTCCTACAATTGATCTGCACCACCTTCAACTGAGTTGTGAATTCTTTGAAAATAAAGGCAATCTTGTGTCTCTGTGTTTTAAATACTTTTTTCTCCTATTAAGATATAAAATATACTAATCATAAAATGCAAAATTAAAATATTTAGTTGCATTAAAGCAAATACTTCTATTTATGAAAAGGTACAATAAAGAAAGTATAAAAACAAACTAAAAGCTAGAGGAAGATTTTTTAAAACCATAAAACTGACAAAATTTTAATACCTAGGGTATATAAAGAATTCTCACAAATCAGTAGGACAAACAGCTCCCTAGAAAAGTGGGCAAAAGCATGAACAACTATTTCACTAACTAGAAAAACCCATAGATCTATGAACATAACAGAAAGTACATTACCTTGCTGGACATCAGGGAAATGCAATTAGCTAGCAAAATGGGATACACAAAATAAATTGGCAAGCATTAGGAAGTCTGACTTAGGGCCTAGCACAGAGCCTAATATATAGCCCACACACTGCAACCAAGGCAGTTCTAACTCAAGCCATCTGAGACTTTGTGATGGGGAGCTGCTCATCGAGATTTGAACCAGTCACCTTCTGGTTAGCAGCACAGCACACCATGCCACTGAAGCTACTTAGGATCAATGCATTTTTGTTGAGTGAATCAGGACTATAAAATTCATTACAGAAAAGCTAGGAACAACACTAGAAGTTCTAATCCACAACATAAACAGTCTTCCCAGTATCCTGGAAAAGCTACAACCAGGAGAAGATAACATAGATGAATGGGATCTTCTAAGACTCAAATCCCTATGCACATCCAAAAACTTCTCCAGTAGGGTAAAAAGGGAAGCCACTGACTGGGAAAAAGTATTCGGTAATAACATATCAGATAAGGGACTTATATCCAGAATTTATGAAATACTTGAGCACCACAACAAGATAAAGGTAAATAATCCAATAGAAAAATGGGCACAGGATATGAACAGGCACTTCACCGAAGACGACATTCAGATGGCTAACAAACACATGAAGTAATGCTCAAAATCCCTAGCCCTATGAGAGATGCAAATTAAAACAACTATGAGATATCATTTCACCCCAGTCAAAATAGCAAAATTTAACAGAACAGCAAGCAACAAATGCTGGCGAGGTTGTGGAGAAACTGGAACCCTGATTCACTGTTGGTGGGAGTGTAAAATGGTGCAACCCCTGTGGAAAGCAGTATGGCGCTTTCTCAAAAAGTTGCAAATGAGATACCATTTGACCCAGCAATTCCACTACTGGGAATATACCCTGAAGAGACCATAGCTGACATCCAAGCAGATATATGCACACCCATGTTTATTGCAGCTTTGTTCACAATAGCAAGGAGTTGGAAACAACCTAAGTGCCCATCAACAAACGAATGGCTAGAGAAGCTGTGGTATATTCGCACAATGGAATACTATGCTGCATTGAAAAACAAGGAACTCATGCAATATTATTCAAAATGGTTGACTCTGGAGAACATTATGCTGAGTGAAATATCCCAGTCACAAAAGGACAAATATTACATGATGCCACTGTTGTAGAATGGGACTGTCCTTGGGGTTGGGGAGAGACTGAGTAAGATGGGTTCAATAATGTATACTGCACTGAAACAGAGGAGGGAGAAAACTGTTTAAAAGAGATATATAACTAGGTATTTCTGTCATCACAGGAGACTAGAGCGAGGGCTACATGGTGGAGGGGACCTGGGGGAGGGTTTGTAAAACAATGAAAGAATCTTTTCTTTTACTTTTCCATAATTTTTGACTAATGTACTTATAACTTGTTAGTCAAATTTGTGTCTTCTAGGTTGCAACACCCCCATGATACATCTTCAAGGATATGAACATGTACGGCCAAGCACAATCAATAAGAGTGCATCTAAATTCCAAAATCAATCTCCATAATAGTCTATGTGTTTCCTACTGCCAAAGGGGCCCTTTAGAGTAGTGAGAGAAGATCTTCACCCTGAAACCCACAGCGTCCCTTTTCAGCAGGAAGTAGCTAAGAGAATACGCCATCCCCTTTTCCTTATGACTCAGGGTGAAGTCTCTCTCAGGGAGGAGTGATAGGGAATGGCAAAGGACATGCTGACAAAGAAGATTAATCAGAACTGGCTTTGACAAGCACTGTGGCGTTTGGACAAGAACAAACTGGGAGGAGGGTAGAGAGAATAGTGCAACAATGAATGAATGGAAACCCAAAATCTCTGTAAATGTTTATGAAAATTAATAAAATATAATTATAGAAAAAAAAATATTGAATATACCTTCTCAACCAGACATAATACTGTAAAATTTCAGGAGAAAGTCTGGACATACAGTTGGAAAGGACAGAATAGGCCATATGGGGACACTAGGATGTGAGGTGTTCTTGTAGGATGGCCAACAGAAGCTCTCAGCACAATGAGGTGTGAGAAGGGGGCAGTGCCGGAAGATCATCCCTCTAACCAAGTTGGTCCTGTGCTGGCTGTCACCTGACTGCGCTTTGTGTTGGAATTTCAGGAGGCTTTGGAGTCTTATTGACCACTGTCCTCAGTTATTTGCGCTGAGTGCTGAAATAATAGATGTTCCGGTTCAGAGGAAAAAGCTTTCAGTGAGCTCTCACAGGAAGCCAAGTACACTTCGGCTTTGTGGTTTTGACCTCAGAGCTTCCTGCCAGCGCTTAGCATGGCTTCACAAGTCTGAGAAGCCAGGGAGAAGGTGAGTCGACAGGACCACAACATGGTACCAGCATGTCAATACAGGTGCCTTCTCACTGTCTATTGTTGTAGAACTTCAAATGAAAATTGTTTTTTCTCATGACCGCTAGCTGGAGATGGGGTCTGACCTTTTAGTAATGGCCTTTTAAGATGATTAGAATCTGATTCAATTGATTCTCTCTTAGCCTACCCTTTTGCATACCACCTGACTGCTCTGGGCTCCTCTAGTGTTTGTGGATCGGCAATCCTAACACACCCCGAGTTCCTCTAGTATTTCTGGATCTACCCTGTCTTCTTCAGCAATGAATGTCATTGTGTCTCGGTCAGAACAATTAAGAAAGTGAGACTCAACTGGTTACATCTTCTGATGCTTCTTGTTGAAGCCTGTGCCTAGGATTCTCAATTCATTGTACAAATGGATTATTGAGCCCAGCTGTAGAGTTGAGACTTAATAACCGGAAGCTTCTTCTGGTTCTTGGCTTGGGTTGACCAAATCTGGCCCTGTAGGTAGGCCAGCCAGCTTCCTTCTTATCCAATACCTTCTTTTCTCTACAATGAGCAAGCACTGGGGCTATGGCAAAGCTTTTATTTCATGTCTACTTACAACTGTGTGGGGGAGTGCCCAAGAAAGCATAAATGAAACTCAAATGTCCCTCAGCAGATAAACCACGTTCAAGTCTGGCACAGGCAGACTCCACCTGACCTCACAACTCTGCTCATGACCCGAACGGGAAGTAGAAGAGCCCGAGGATGTCCACAGTTAGTCCCTGTCCTTCTAGGGAGCAGACTGGTCTTGCTCAGTCCTGCCTGCTGTGATAGACAATGGGGCGTCAAACCGCTGGTTGCATTAGAAGCTCCAGACACAGCTGTGACCTGCATCCCCTTGATGGTAGGACAAGTGTGCAGACCTGAGTGATGACATTCCTTGGTGCCTGTTGTTGGGAGGGACTAGTTTCAACAGTTTTTTTGTAGAGGGAAGGGCCATCTCTCTCAGGACTCAGAATTATGAGTTTTAGGTAGATGATGGGGGAGGTTTCTGGTGAGCTCGGGGTCTGGGCAGGGGTGGGCCTTTCTGCAGGTGAACTTGTGTGACTGACTGAGGAGGAAGAGGCCTCTTCTGCTGCTGTTGCTGCTGGACACGGTTGCCAACAGGCCTGGGACGATGGCTGGGTGGTGGAGGAGGTTGAGAAGTGGCTGGTTTTTGAAAAGTGGAGCCTGGGATTTGGTGGGGCTTCCGGACTTTTTCTTCAGTGGTTATTCTGTGAGCTCTTATCTCTGGGTCCTCATCTGCAATGACAAAACCTTTGAAGAGTTACTTCTACATGGCAAGATGCCATCAATGGAAACACGCAATGAGCACATCCTATACGGAGGGTGTCATGTTAACAGCTTTGAAGGATACAGTGAGGAAGACAAGCTGTCCCTACTCTCTGAATGCTTGGGGGACTTGAAGGGAGGCAGAAATCCACACTAGCAAAGTAAACCACAGCTGAGAAGACCCACGTGGGGACCTGGATCTCCTGAGGGCACAGTGAGCCTCAGACCACAGAGACCTACCTATGCAGCATCCCAAGGAGCTCTAGTGAGTGGTACAGCTCATGGGGAGTTTCCCTGCTGACCCAAAGGATGCACCTCTTTAGTGGTTCAAATCCACCGGCGGCTCCAGGGGAGAAAGACAGGCAATCAGTCACCTGTGTGATTTATAGCCTCAGAAACTCAAAGAAAGGCCAGCTGTAAGTCAGTTCCGACTTGATGGCTACGAAGGGGGAGGCTTTGGTTGTTTAGGGGTTTGTTTGGGTTTTTTTTTAATGGTAAGCCAACCTCAGGAGGCCAACACCTCATAGTTCCAGCCCCTTTTAATAAGATATTATCATTCATTGCCATCAAGTCAGAGCAGATTCATTGCTTATTCTCCAGAGGTTTTTTTGGAAGCTGTGACTCACACAGGAGGGGATTGTCCATCTTCCCCCAAGGAATCACCGATTCAAACCTCGGGAGAAGTGGCACCTTTAACATTGCAACTCCCTAAGTACTACTCTACCAGAGCTCCCTGTGTTAGAAGTTTTACAGGATGTTGTTGTTGTTGTTATTAGCTACTGTGGAGTCAGCCCTCAGACTAAGATAATGTATGCATAATGGGATTGGAAAGTCATGGTTCACCAGCTTTTCACCAGATAGTTTTCAGAAGCAGTTCTCCAGGCCTTTCTTCCTAGTTTGCCTTAGACTGGAAACGCCATGAAACCTGGTCAACATCATAGCAACACTCAAGCCCCACTGCCAAGGGGGTAGTAGGTGCTCCACCACTGACTTGCCTCCCCCAACCCCCAAAGCAGAGGAAGACCAGCTCACTTCACCCCAGCGTGTCAGAGTAGAGCTGTACTCTGAAGGCTGTGCAGTAGCTAGGCTTGGGGAAGTAGACGGACAGACCTTCCTTCCAATGCTGCTGAGTGGACTCAACCCATGGGCCTTTAGGTTAGTGTAACAGTAACTACATTTCTTCACATGGATTTCTGTGTTAGAGCTATCTTTCCCTGAATTCTTTTCTAAAACAACCCATATTCTAGTGAGGATTTGGTGTATATGCGAGAGGATTTTAAGCCCTCAGAAATTTACTAGATTCTCAGAAATACATAAGCTAATCGAATCTTCTCGGGCTGGGGAGAGAAGTAGTTTCTCCTCTCCTTAGCCCTTCGGGGATCTTCTGATGCACGTGACTTCAATCTGTGAAGTTAGGGACATGATAATAGGAATGTAGTTTTTCTTTGCTGCCTTAAAATCACACAGAAAATTTGTGAGGACACTCAGCTGCTGCAGGCCTGGAGGGCCCCTCTGGCCCCCTTCGGCCTCCTTTAAGCTGCAAGTTAGATATTCTGGTCCTGAGCACAGAGCCATCCTCACAGCGCCAGTCCAGAGGGAGGAGGAAGATGAGATTTCTCCTCAGAGCAAATCTGTGATCCTGGACATCTTTATGGGACGTATGCTTTAGGATGCCCAGGCCCTCTCTGAGCATCACCCTGTGGCAACCTGCTCCTCTGACTGCTGGCAGCTCCAGTCCAAGCTGCTTTGAATGGGAAGACCCCAAACCAGATGATTTGGTTTTGACATGTGAGTGGCTAACGTGCTCCAAGAGAGTTCTGAAGGCCGAGTGGTAAGGCGCTATGCTGCCAACACTAAGGTATGCTATGGTTCAAACCCACTAGCTGCCCCCTGAGAGAAAAACACCGTGCGATTTACTGTCTCCAAAAACTTGCTAGAGGGTCAACTATGAGTCAGTTCTGACTCAATGGTACATTAGAACAATGTATTTTAACAAAAAGAAATGGACCCAAAGGGAAGAAAAGCTTACCTACTTTTATGAAAATAATATGTAATATATTACTCTTTCAAGAATCGTTCAACCCCCTCATGTGTTGTTTCCTACAGAAGCTAATGGTGTGGTGGCGGTGCAGGGGGCGGGGGGGGGCGTTATGGGCATGTTATATGCAAAACCCATAGGACTTTCTCTGCCCTTGAAGTTCAAGGTTGCTGGGGTCATGGCTGCAAGGGTGTAGAGAAGACTTTGATCCCTGATCCACAGTCCCAAGTCCTATTTCACCCCCTGGATAATGAATTTGATCTAGTCACTTGTTTACTCAACTGATCATCCTCATTTTATGATTTTATAAGCTGGAATAAAATATGTAAAACTAAATCAAAATAAATTTACATTTTAACCATCTTAAGTGTATGATTCAGTGATAATTTGTGCAGCCTTCATCACTGTCAATTTCCAAATGTTCCTTAACACCCTCAATAGAAACTCCACACTCCTTAAGCAATAACAATGCCCTATTGCTCCCCTCCCCTGGCCCTGGTAACCAAAGTAAACTCTGAACTCTGTAAATTTGCTTATTCTGCATATTTGAGATAATTAAGATCAAAAACTATCCTTTTTGGTTTAGCTCACTCTGCATAAGGTTTGCAAGGCTCATCCAAGCCATTCCATGTATCTTTTGTGTCACAACATGTGTCATCCATGTCGCAGCTGTTTCAGAACCTCGTTTCTCTCTCTGGATGAATCTGCTCATCCTTGTCTTTGTTCACTTGTTCTCTGGACATTTATTCCCCTCCAATCAGTTTCCAGGTAAGATGTTACCTGCCTTGATGGTTCAAACACAAACACGCTCCCAGGAAACCTATAACCAACTAAGAGAGGCAAAGCAGAACTACAAATCACCATGTGGCCTCCTGTTAGGGTCCAGGGCTACCCGACAGGTACAGACAAAAAGCCACGTGAGTTCTCAGCAGCTGGGGGTGGTGTGGCTCAGTGGCTACGACCTCAGGGTGAGTTGAACAGACGAGGCTAATCATGTGCAGCCTTCATCACTACTGTCACTATCCTCACAACCTTCAGCACCATCCTGCTTGTCCAGAGCAGGACAGAGACCCTCAGTATTGGTCTCTTCTGCCTAAACAACTGCTCCAGATCATTCCTCCAAAGCTGTAGCCTTTCCCCTCTGGTAAGCCTCCTCTCCTCTTAACCCAGGGCCAGAACTTGGGTAAGACAAGCAAAACGAGGGTGCAAAATGTAAGGAGGTGCTTAATCTCAGGGTCAGGCAAGTACAAGACTGAGCCTCCTTGCCTGGCTTCACACTTTCTCACTGTTCCTGTTCTGGCTCAGCTTGCCTGTGTTGTTGTTTTATACCATCGAGTCAGAACCGACTCATAGCTGACACTCTAACGGGTTTTCAGAGGCAGTAAAGTAAATTGTACAGGAGGAGATTTCCCATCTTTCTCCCGTGGAGCAGCTAGTGAATTTGAACCACATGCCTTTGGATTGGCAGCACAGCTCCTTATCATGAGACCACCAGAGTCCTCAGCTTACCTACGGGCAAGAGGATATGGGGTAAAGTATCTCACCCCATATTGAATGTTGTTGTTCTCTTTGTGTTAACGTCACCTATCTCATGAGAGCATGCCTACGACTGGATGAGCTAGAGGATATAAAGCAAAGATTTTAGTGCCTGGGTCGTGTGATTGTTTTGTCTACAGGAACTAATCATATTTGTCAGTTCAGCCTGGTGAAAGCAGAGATTTCTTGACATGAAGTGGCAGGGGAGGCCCACCTTGGAGAAAAACACAGTCTAGACAATTAGGTGATAGAGTAAGGGAGGCTTGGCCAGCGCAGATCCTGGGAAAGGTGCAGAGACAAGGAAGACCCGGGCCTATAAGACCCAGTCATCAATTTGGCTTCACCTCCATGGAAAGTGTATGGAGAGTGGTGGTTGTGAGGGGCAACTCTCATTCATGAGGTCTAATTTGTCACTCTCATTGAGTAAGAAGTCCCAGGGGCTACTCTGAGGACAGGGGTGGGCTCGAGGATGGGAAGGAAGGTGCTTCCCTGAGAAGATAGCTCAGGAAGAACCAAAGAAACAAGTCTGAAGCAAGCCAGCCACATCCACAGACGTGGTTCCTGTGGAATTGATTCTTGCTTCTGATGACTCTGTGTGTCAGAGTAGACCTATGCTCCAAAGGGTTTTCAATGGCCGGTTTTCAAGAGGAGCAAGGCAAAAGTAGATTATCAGGGTTTTTTTCGGAGGTAACTCTGGCTGGACTTCAACCTCTAGGATTCCAACGAGCAGCTAAGCAAGCATATTAACTACTTGTACCTCCCAAGAACCCTGAAGAGAGCAGGGCCCAAAGGTCACCCTTTCCCGGGGAAGTTCAGACCAGGTCCTTGTTAGGGAGAGGCCAGAGACAGCAGTGACAAGTACTAGGCCTGCTCTGTGAGAGACGCAGAGGACAGGGACGCAATCCGACTGTGGATGTGCTGGTTACACAGACTTTAAGGAGCTGCCCACCTGGCTGCATGTCCGACTGGGGCAGGGGGACGGTGGACCTCACCTTGTAGGTCTGCCTCAACAACCCTACCCAGCACTCAGGGCAACCCTTGGGTCTGACATCTCTGAATATGTAGCGTTAGTAGCCTGCACAGTCCCCGAACTTGCTTTCCCATGACAGGCCTGTTTGAGGAAAGAATGAACACTCCTAGCCCCAAACAATGAACTGGCAAAAGGTCATAGCCATCTTGTTTTAGAATAACTGCTTGCCAGTAAGAACCTAAAGACCCTAAAACCATTTTACCTGAAACCCTAAAGCTTAGCCCTAAACACACATGAACTCAAGCCCTCAAGAAAGGCTAGTATGTTTGTTTTTTACACATGGTGTCTCAAAACTAATCTTTCTTCCAAGGCAGGGGCACATCTTATTCAAAATATGTCCATGGAGCCTGCTTTTTTTTTTTTTTTTTTTTAGTCAGTCTCGGGTGGTGGATTCCAGCAGCCTCAATCCAGTTTCTCAAATCTCCCTCATTACCAAGAATTTGGTTTTGTCAAAATCAAGGCAACCACAAGATGGAACAAAGTAGAACCACTGGTGACAACCCCGCCATTCTGAAACTACCTGGCTCTGTTATTCTCTTCCCAGACACAGCATGGCATTAATATTTGCTGTTTCAGGGGGATTTTTGGCCAGCGCCTGCTGTGAGCTAAAAAGGGAGAGCTTACCATTTCTCTCGTCGTTCTGTTTTCTCTTCTTGCCGATACAGAAGATGAGCAGCGCCACGAAGATGAAGACGACGATGCCTCCTCCAACAACAGTGAGGATGAGGTAGATGTTCAGACCTTTCTCTGTAAGAAGAGAAGTGGAATGGTGGAGAGGGGCCATTTGATTGTTCTGGCCAAGGACCATCCCTCCTGCAAGAAGTAGATAAAAGAGCTTGATGGGGCTTTTCAACCATGTAAAAGCCAAGCTCACTGAGGTTGGAGAATTATGTTAATTCCTAAAAGGATCCAGCTTCCAGAGGAAGCCTTCTCAGAAGGTTCCTCCAAGAACTACCCTCCTGCTTTAGAAATGTCTGATTCTTCCTGTGCGGAGGCAGAGAGGGCTGCAAAGGAGTTTGGAGACAATCTGGTGTGCTTCTAGTTTCACGTTAGAGGCCTGCGAGGGAAGTTGAGAGACTCAGGGTCTTACGGTGTCTGCCCGCACGGGGCCCTGACACAATGCTTGGTCTATGTTTCTGCTCTATTTATACAGCTCTCGTCTTAGATGGCACCTTTCATCATATTTTTCCCCCTCACCCCTTTAGTTGAACCACTTCTAGGCAGTCAAGCTAAATATTTCATTAATCTAGCCTAAGTTGTACTTCAGAGCCAGTATCCTCTCCCGGGAGGGATTTTCCCTGGCCCCACAGACAATAGTAAACTAGCAATAGCACAGGAACTTGGACTTCACCTCCCAGACCTTCAGCTGCTGCACAGCCATGAAGGAAACAGTGGTTTTGGTGCTAAGAGAGGTTGTTTTGAGTCTAAGCTGACAAGAGCTGTGTGACCTTTGTTAAATTCTCCATCTCTCTGAACCTGCTTCCTTCCTTGTCAAAAGGAGATGATTACATCACAGGGGTGGCTGTTGAAAGTCAGAGAGTGGATGTGAAAGTGCTTTGTAAACTGTAAAACAGCGAACAAAACCAGGGTTCTGCTCTTATTAGCACTCGGTACTGGTGCTTGGGTGAGCTATTCCCCAGGACAAGCAAAAGGCTGGCTGCCTTCTGTGAGTCAATAGCAGTTAAAGTCTCAGTGAGAGCTGGGGTCAGAGGATTGTTCCTTTTGGAGATTAAACTGGAGCTGGGCCCCAGCATTTCAGAAGAAAAACAACCTCTTCAGAGGAACATGTCTAGAAAGGTGCCATCACACACAAAGCCCATGGCAGACCCCAAGCAGAGAGTCAGAAACCAGACAGTGAATTTGCAAACCACAGTGGTGTGTTAATCCTCAGCATTTTTTCCCCTCAAGTCTCTGTCTCTGACCCACACTTGGGCTGCCAATTACACAAACTCTGTGTGCTCTGTGGATAAAGGGGTTTCTATTATAAAAACAAGCTTAATCATAAGCTGTCTTGCTGACTTAGAGAGGAGGCAAAAGGCAGCTGGCTTCCACCTCAAGCTGAGTTTAGAGCCTCCAAAGACGTGGCCCACAGAGGTCAGGACAGGACTGGGGATGGCCAGGATCACATGGCTCTGCGTGTCCTCTGGCAAGGCTGCCATATGCATATCTTGGGATGTCTTCTTCCATTCATAGGACAAAGGCAGTTCCTCTCAGCTCCTGGTCTCAGGTCTGTCCAGCACATCCCTCTGGGCACCTGGTGGTACTCCCCAGTGGGAAACACCACACCTAGTCACAGAGCCAGCTACAGCTCTGGCATTCAAAAGCACACCCTCCCATTCTCTCAATCCTCCCTGTACTTCCTCTTGGATCTAATGTGCCTACAAATGCATATGGTAGATTGTTCATAGTGTCCAGATCTGCTCCTGTCCTCTGGTATTTTAAAGCAATTGGCAGCTAATGGTTTGAACTCGCTTGTTGCTCCTCAAGAGAAAGACGAGACAGTCTGCTTCTGGACAGACGAACAGGCCTGGAAACTCAATGGGACAGTGCTACTCTGTCCTGTAGAGCTGCTATGAGTCAGAATGAAACTGATGGCAGTGCATTGGGTTTTAGTAGCTTCTACTATTTTGGTTTTAATTACATACTCGTCTCATCTGAAGCAAATCATTAAAATCTAATCATTGATCCTCTCCAACTTGATCTTTTAGGCTGAAATGTTTCACTTGCTCTTTAAGAGTAAGTCTCTCCTCCCAGCATCCTTCAGGCTTTTCTTCCATTTCCTTCCAGGACCTGATCCTTTGTGTTGTCATAAAGTCAAGGAGAAGAAAATTATCCAATTCTTTTAACCTTTGATTCTCCCAAGTTCTCCCCTTTCTCTTCATCCTTTTCTGAATACACGTTATTATACTCATAGAATTCCTGGATTCCTGACTCACAGAAAGTGTGAGATAATAGATGCTTATTGTTTTAAACTGCTAAGTTTAATATTTTTATGTGTAACTTTGCCATAGAGTCAGAATCAACTCAGCCAACCATCCAGTGGGTTTTCAGAGACTAGAAATCCTTTGGAAGAAGATTGCCCATCCTTCTTCCATGGAGCTGATGGTAGATTCTAACCACCTGCCTTTGGCTTGGTAGCACAATTCTTTACTCGCTAAACTACCAGAGGACTATCTATCAATAGACAGCAAGTAAAAACAAAAGTCACTTTAACTGCCACTTGTAATTAAAACGAACATTAGGACTGGGGTTTACAGGTAAAATACACATACTCAATTAAATTTACAATTTAGACAAATAATTTTAGTATAAGTATGTCCCATGCTTGCTGAAACTGAGAATGACCTTAAACATCTGATACACATGGTCAAGGATTATAGTCTTCAACCTAGATTGAAGCTCAACATCAAGAAGTCAAAAATTCTTACCATTGAGCCAATTGGCAACACTATGATAGATGGAGAAGAAATTGAGATTGTTAACAATTTCATCTTGCTTGGATCCACAATCACCATTCTTGGCATCAGCATTCAGGAAATTAAAAGATAAATTGCATTAGGGAAATCAGCTGTCAAAGACCTCACCAGAGTGCTGAAGAGCAACAATGTCAGTTTAGAGACTAAGGTGTACCTGATCCAAACCATGGTCTGACTTGCTTGCTATGCATTAGAGACTTGGACAATGACTAAGGATGACAGGAGAAGAATCAATGCCTTTGAGTTGTGGTTCTGGAGAAGAGTTTTGAACATACCTTGGACTGCCAAGAGAACAAATAGGTCTGTCCTAGAAAGGGTGAAAACAAGCTGCTCCTTGAAGGCAAGAATTTTGAAGCACCCTCTCACATTTTTGGGCATGTTGCCAGGAGGGACCAGTCCTTGGAGAAGGACATCATGCTTAGAAGGATGGAGGGATAGTACAGGAGAGAAAGAACCCGAATGAGATGAATTGATTCTGTAGCTGGGGTCATGGGGGTAGGTGTGTTGGAGAAAGTGAAGATTGGCTCAGGACAGGACAGGGCTTCAGAGCTATTGTACATAGAGTCACTATGAGTCACAGGTAAGTTGATGGAACATAACAACAATGTCTCAATTATATTTGGAATGTATTCTAAATTATTCATTGTTTGTCTGAAATGAAAATTTAACCGGATTTTTGTTTGCTTGTTTGTTTGCTTATCTGGCAACCATGAAAGTGCTCGTAGTGCCGTAATTAATCACTTGGCTGGTAATAAAAATGTCTAAGTTGGAAGAATCTGTCAGGAAAACATGTATTTGAATTTTGTAAATAAACTAGTATAATAATAATTTTTAAAATTCTAAGTTTGAATCCACCAGATACTTCACAGGAGATAGAAGAGAGAGTCTGCTTCTAAAAAGATTTATACCATTGGAAACTCTACAAGGCAATTCTACTCTCTCCTCCAGAGTTGCTGTGAGTCTGAATCAAACTAATGGCAGCAGGTGAGTGACCTGGCAACTTTCAACAAGAGTGTCCTGGAGGGAAAAGAGCTCATGAAGTCAAGGAGGAACAGCTTCACTCACTGTGCCTTGGAAGGACGTGGGGAGTTTGCTAGTGAGTAAACATAAAGGGATGAGTGCTGATGGGCCTAGGTATGTGGTTGGCAGCCTGGCGGGTGATCCCCAGTGATTTTCTCCTTCTGCCATTCATGCCTTCATGTAATCCCCTACAAGTGAAGGTGAGCTGTACTGATTGCTCATTCTCTAATGAATAGCAGAAATCATGGGACAGTACTCACAATAGGTTATAAAGAGGCTGTGACTTCCGTCAGGAACTTTCCTTACTCTTGGGTTTGTCTGCAGGAAGCCAGCCGCCATGTTGTGAGGAAGCCCAGTGGAGTCATCCACATGACTGAGCTTGTGGATAAATCTTCTCAAACTTGCCAAGAGCCAGGTGAGTGAACTTGAAAGTGAATGCCTCCCAAAGAGAGCCTCTCCTACACTGGGATCCCTGCTGATATTTTGGTTGCAGCCTCGAGACAGACTCCAAGCCAGAACCACCAGCTATGTCATTCTTGGATTCCTGGCTCACAGAAACTGTGAGATAACAAATGCTTATTATTTTATTCTCTCCCAACCCTCATGGAAACTCTCTTTACTTCAGATTAGGATTTAATCAAATGAGATTAAGGGGTGATGCATTCCACTCTTTTGTTTTCTTTTTCCCCCTTTTTTAATGTTATTGATTCATTGTTGCAAGTTTTTCTCCCTCTCCCTCTCTCAGTCTACTTTGCAATGCACCTCTTGCTCTGGATTGTGGTCATATATATAATATTCTGATGTCCTAGTGGCAAGAAGCCATGCTGCAATCCCGAAGACACATGGTTCAAAGCTACCACTTGCTCTGAGGGAGAAGGATGGGCAATTTCCCCCCATGCGAATAACTACCTCTGAAAACCCACTGGAGAGTCAGTTATGGGTTGCTTTCAATTCTATGCTACACAGCAACAACAATCATATATTCCTTCTAAACAATTTTTCTTTCATCTGTATCAACACAGTGTTCATCATCTATAAGTTTGAGGTAATTTGTTATATATGTATAGTTTGTTATAATTAGTAAAAACAAACCCCATTTGCCATTGAGTAGCTTCTGTCTCATGGAGATCCCATAGTCATCACAGTAGAATGTTGTTCAGAGTTTTCAAGTTGATTATTTTCTGAAATTGGACCACCATGCTCTTTTTCTGAGTGCCTCTGAGAGGACTTGCACCACCAACCACCTTTACAAATTGTATATTAGAATGTCTTATTTCTGACCTCACACCACTCTTGGGGTTAGCAAAAGAAAAGAAGACCTTCAACAAGATGGTTTGACACAGTGGCTACTACAATGGACTTGAATATGATGGAGATCATGAAGAGAGTGTAAGATGTTGTTACTGGTGTTTTTATGTGCTGTTGAATACAACTCATAGTGAACGCATGAACAATGGCTCTGAGTCCTGCCCTATCCTGAACCAACCTCACCATCTTTGTCACACCTGACCCAATTACCAGTCTCTGTGTCCATCCATGTCATCCAAGGTCTTCTTTTCTTGTGCTGAACTTCTACCCTTCCAAGGACAGGTCCCTTCTGGCAACATGCTGGAAGTATGTAAAACAGAGTTTCAAAGTCTTTGCCTTCAAGAAATAGTCAGATATCACCTTCTCCAGGACAGATCTGCTTGTTCTCTTAGAAGTCCACAGTATATTCAATACTCTTCATCAGCACCTCAACTCAAAATTGTCAATTCTTCTTCTGTCACTGTTATTCATTATTCACCTCTTAAAGTTGCATAGCAAGCAACTGAAAAAAAAAAGCATGGCTTGATGAGGCACACCTTAGTCTTTAGACTAACATCATTGCTCTTTAGCACTCTGCAGAGGTCCATGTCAACACATTCTCCCAGTGCAATTAATCTTTTGATTTCCTGACTACTGGTGCCAATAGTGTTGATTGTGGAGTTGAGCAAGGTGAAATTGTTAACAACTTCAATCTTTATCTATCATGATGTTGCCTATTGGGCTGGTAGTGAGCACTAGTTTTCCTGACATTGAGATGCAATCTATATTGAACACCTCAAGTCCTCCTCAGTTTCAGTGAGCAAGTTTGTATCATCTACTTAATACAGGTTGTTGCTTAGAGTCTTCCTCCAATCCTGATGCCACATTCTTCCTCATAATGTCCAGGCTCCTAAATATTTGGTTCAGCATACAGATTGAAAAGGTTTGGAGAAAGGGTACAACCCTGATTCACTCATTTCTTGGTCTAGTTATAGGTCTCGCATGAGCAAAATCAAGTGTTCTAGAATTTCCATTCTTCTCATTCTTAGCCACAATTTGTTGTAATCCACACAATTGAATGCCTTTGCATAGTCGATAAAACATAAACAGACATCCTTCTGGTACACTTTGCTTTCAGTCAAGCTCCATCGGACATCAGCAATGATATCCCTGCTGCCATGGCCTCTTCTAGACCCAGCTTGAATTTCTCTGTCAAAATACTGTTCTAGTTTCTGGACAACCTTCAGCCTTCAGGAAGATTATGCTTGCATGTGACATTAGTGATATTGTTTGTTGTTGTTGTTGTTGTTGTTATGTGCCATCGAGTCACTTGCGACTCATAGCGACCCTATGTACAACAGCCCTGAACTCTGCTCTGTCCTGTGCCAATCGCACTGTCTCTGACACTCCCATCCCGATTATCCCAGTCACTGAATCAATCCACCTCATAGAGGGCCTTGTTTACTAATGAGAAATGATATTGTTTGTTAATCTCCACATTCTGATGGATTACCTTTGGAAATAAGAACAAATATGGATCTCTTCTAGTCAGTTGCCCAGGTAGCTAGCTGTCCTCCAGATTTCTTGGCACAGGCTGATGAACACATCCAGAGCTGCATCTTTTTGTTGAATTATGTCAATTGGTGTCCCATCAATTCCTGAGGCTTTACTTTTTTTTCCAGTTCCTTCACAGCAGCTTTACCATTGTTGGTTCTTGATCATACGCTACTTGCTGAAATGGTTCTATGTCGTCCAATTCTTTTTGGTACAGTGACTCCATGCATTCCTTCCATCTTCTTTTGATATTTCTTAGATCGTTCAAGATTTTACCTCTTGCATTTTCAGTATTTCAACTCATGACTTGAATCTGTTCTTCAGTTCCTTTAACTTGAGAAATGCTGAGCGAGTTCTTCCCTTTTAATATTCTGACTCCAGTTCTTCGCACATTTTATTAGAATGCTTTGCTTTATTTTCACAAGTTGCCCTTTGAAATCTTCTGTACAACTCCTTAACTTCATGATTCCCTATCTTTGTTTTGGCTTCTCAACCTTCTAGTGCAATATTCAGAGTCTGTTTTGACATACATTTTGGCCTTTTCTTCCTCTTTTGTCTTTGTAGTGACTTTTTGCTTTCTTTGTAGATGATACCCTTGATACCATCCCACAACTCATCAAATTTTCGTTCATTACTGTCCAATGCCTCAAACCTGTCCTTGAGATGCTTTCTAATTCATGTTAGGTATACTCAAGGGCAAATTTTATAAGGTCAATATAAGTCCTGGTTGACTCTTGTCTCAGTGACGCCTAACAACAACAACAAATCTCCTGAAACTCATAGCGACCCTATATACATTAGTTCTGAACTCTGCCCTAACCTGAGCCAGTCTTATCCTCTTGACATACCTACTATTATTTCTTCAGTCACTGAGTCAATCCATCTCATCCTGGGTCTTCCTCTCCTGAGCTGGCCTTCCACCCTTCCAAGCATGATGTACTTCTCCAAGTACTGGTTCCTCCTGGCCAAATGTCCAAAGTATGTTAGACAGAACTTTAAAATCCTTGCCTCCAGGAACAGCTTGGTTTCTCCCTTTCAAGGACAGACCTGTTTGTTCTCCTGGTAGTCTATGGTATGTTCACTCTTATCCAGCACCAAAACACAAAGGCTTTGATTCTTCGTCTATCATCCTTATTTATTGTTCAGGTCTCTGATAACCTAGCAAATAATTGTAAAAATGGGCAATCTCTAACCACGTGATTAACTGCCTCTGAAAACCCACCAAAAAGTCATCTGTGGGTCAATTCAGACTCTATGGTACACAACAACAACAACAACAATATAGCCTTTATCAAGCACACCTTAGTCTCCAGACAGAGATCGTTGCTCTTCAGTACTCTAGAGAGATTCCCGGCTGTACTTTCTCAATTCAATACATCTTTTGATTTCCTAACTGCTGGTGCTGAGAGTATTGATTGTGGAACCAAGCAAGTTGAAGTTGTTAACAACCTCAATCTCTTTTCTATCTATCATGAAGCTGCAAATTGGCTCAATGGTTAGGGTCAGTAATGAGTTACCAGTCACTGCAGAAATTCAAGGCCTTTGGATAAGAAGTACTTCGATTTTTTTTTCTTTCATGTACCTAGTTTTCCTTCAATGGTTTGACTGACCAGAACTGCAAAATCAATGACAAAATATTAGATAAGAAAGATCTTGAAGGGTATGAAGCCCAGTCTCTCTGTTAACAGGGAAACTTAAGCACAGGGAAGGAAAATGCCTTGGTCAATGTCATCAGCTAAATTTGTACAGAACCCATAGAGTCCAGTTGCAGACTTGAGCATTAAATCATGATTCTCCTCAGAAATTACTTCCAGGGAGCACATCAGACTAGGGTCTTGGAGATGAACTGAGACTCTTGGCGGCAGGACTTCCTCGTGCTAGTTCTGCTCTGTGGTGGAGGAGCAGAACACAGTCTTTCTGAGAGAACAGTCCTCACTGGCCTGGTGTTCACCCTTCTCTCCAAGCCCCTAACCCCCAATTTTTCTACGGCCTTAGCGCTTTCTCCTGCAGGTGGTGCTGCCTATCTCCCTTCCTAAGAATTCTTCCCTTTGTTTCTCTGCCATAATTATCCAGTGAATCGGAACCATGGTTGTGAACTAGCTGAGAAATCTTGGATAAGTCATTTAACCTCTCTCTAGAGAACAGCGGTGTGGCTGAGACAACCTCCATAGCCCCTTCTACCTCCTTTGATTGCCTGAGGTTAAATCATGCTCAGGGAGAGAACTCCTCAAAGTATCACTAGACACACCCACCTGCTTGTTTTCCCTTCCCCTCTGAGGCCTCACAGATGACTTCCCTGTACCCTGGCACATGCCTTCCCTGAGGGTCTGGCTGGCTGTGTTTGCGAAGCCCATTTGGGACATTGATTAGAGGCTCACTGCATACCTGGACACTGGATATTTTCTTCGTTGTCCTCCCTGCTGACATTGTTACTTGCTGTGCAAATGAAATTGAGACTCTGGTTGGAGGTCCACGTGTATGTGATGATGGTCTTAGCACCGTTTTCAAGGATGCTCCCGTTTTGACTCAGTTGTAATTCAGGATCACTTCCTTTTGTGACCTTACAAGTCAGTGTGCGATTGTCACAATTGTAGAGGATCTGTGGTTTTGAGACCACCTCTGAAAAGACAATAAAGATCTAATTCACATTTGGCAGTAGTTTGGTTTCAATGCATCTACTTATTTTAAGAGACAGCGAGAGACTGAGGAACAATGTCAAAGCCCCCTTTGAGAATTTTAGAAAATGATACATGTAACTTTCCTTTTATTTCAGGGAAAATTGTTTCTAGTAAAGTTTGTAGATGCCTTATAACAGTTTTTTAAAGAAAATTACTGATGATTGTATGCTGTTTTGCAGCTTAAAACATATTCACATACGTGACAGCATTTACCCATAATAAACAGAGAAGCTGGTGCTTTTCTTCCTCTTTATGGATGAAATGCTCTAGGCTGTGACAGCCTAAATGGATGGGCTGAGATCAACAACTAAAAAATGGCAGATCAGGACAGGAACCGGCTATTCTGAATCCAAGTTCAATGCCATGAGTAATAAGGCTGTTATGTCCCGACCCACACCTGCCTCAAGAACCCTCCCTTGGAGGAATCCCACTCTCCATGGAGCCTGGGCTTTAACCACAAAAGAAACGAGGGCAGAGGCCCACCTCCTGCCAGGGTCCTGGGAGCAGCATGTGGGCAGTGTGTGAGTGTTATGTGTGCTCTCAGGAGCTCCAGGGAGAGGTGCTAGCCAGGGAATCAGGACACCACTTGTGCCTTCTCTTGCCTAGAAAGTGCCACGGCGCAACACTAGGCAGAGCTCTGGAGTTTGATTAGATGCTGGCATTACTGATGGTTACTCTTACTATTAAGCCCTTATCTCTCCTTTTTCCAATGTGATGATAATTTAAAAACTGCATCACAAAGAAAAAGGATCTGCTAGGCTAAGTCTAACTTCCAGCTCCACCACTTCCTTACTGTGCCTCACTTTCTAAGTTTTCTTTATCTGTAAGCCACTTCTCTTCCTGATGGCGAGTCAGGAGTGATGGCCATCCATGCAAACCTAGCACCAGGGAGCACTGGCTGGATCAGAAACTTGAGTGGGGCTGGGATACTTGTGACTGTTCCTTGGGACTTCTTGTTTCAACCGCCCCATCAAGGTTACTCTTGAGCACATTGCTGTCTACATGACTCTGATGCAGACACTTGGAACTGGCCACTTCATCCCTAAGGGCCTCCCCAGGCTCTGGCCACATGGGCTGGACAAGCCCCAGCTCAGTCAGGCAACTTCGAGGATCTTACTCTAAAAACCAAAGGTCATGAAGACCACATCAAACTCTCTCCATCTTCTTTCCCCCTCTTCTCTCACCAGCCTCGCTCTCCTCCTCTCTTCACTCCTTTTCTTACCCTTTATTCTGTTCTTTTTTTCTCCTTTTTCATATCTTTCTTTCCATTTCTGTCCATTTCGTGTGTGTGTCACATTTTCATTCATTGACATTATGTTTCATACAATTATTTCCATATATTGTGTTTTATAAAATTAATTAACTTTGGACTATGCCCACCATCACCCCATCTTTCCAGATGCCTGCAGAGTGTTTCCCATTTCCTTTACCCCCTCCATCCACCCACTAAATTGTACAACCCTGTGTTCTCCCCCCATACCCATCCTTACCACTCTGTTCTCACTCTTTCCCCCCTTCTGCCCCCATACTTGTCTTACTAGTTGTCCTTCTATTTTTGCAATCATGGTCTTATGTAGTCTTTGTCCTTATAAGACAGATCAACATTATTTTTCAAGGATTCCCTTCCCGCTGGCTCCCAGTCAACTACATCTTCCCCATCAAGTTTCCCAGCCCAGTCTCATGGTTCTCACAGCAGACAGGCACACTAAAATAGCATTATCTGTGTGACACAGAGTGACAAAGATGGAGAAACCTCAACAAAAAACCATTCCACATCTGTACATGGTATAGGAGTGAGGGCACATACTTACCTCTCTTTTCAAAATAAAGGTTGCCTTTTTTATCTATGTACAGTAAACCCAGCTAACGCCTGAAGCTGTGTAAGGTAGTGATTAAAAAAAAATAAGGAAAGCTCAAATATTTTCCACAAAATGGATAGTGGGAAAGTGGTCACACTACATCCTTTCAAAAGCAAAAAGTCATAGAGAACTGGAAAAAGCAGGCAGCACCTCGAGTTCCAGCTCTCACAGGTTTAACAATTTTAGTGTAAAAAATTGTTGTGTGGATCCACATCTCACACCATACACAAAAATCAACTCAAGTTGGATCACAGACCTGGGAATAAAGCCCCAAACCACATTCATAAGAGACAAACTGGGATCAAGCTTAGAAGCATTAGTCCAAGGTATAAAGAGACTGCCAAATACAACCAGAAATGCACTATCTGAAGAGGATAAAATTGATGCATAAGACCTTCTAAAGATTAAATCCGTGCTTGCATCAAAATATTTTTCCAACAAGATGAAAAGAAAACCTACAGACTTGGAACAAACATTTGGTATACCATCTCAGACAAGAGTTTTATAACAAAAGTCTACAGAATATTCCTGGGCCTCCACAGGAAAAAGACTGATAACCCAAATACAAAATAGGCAAAAGACATGGAAAGAAATTTTTACAAAGGAAGATATCCAAATGGCAAAGAGACACATGAAGAAATGTTCCAAATCACTGGCAATAAGAGAGATGCAGATCAAAACCATAGTAAGGTACCATCTCACTCCAGTAACAGTGGCAAAGTTTAACAGGGCAGCAAGTAATAAATGAACTAATGATCTGAACACTTGTGTAACTTCCCTATTTTCTCCAAATTCATAGGGTTTCCAGAGGTAAGCTATTCTGGAAGTGGATACCACTCCTGTATCCAAGCTTGTTTTAATCGGGGAACTCCACCAAACACTGTCCCCCATGAGTAACCATTATCGCATTTGACACATAAAAAAAACAAAAACAAAAACACCCAAACATTCCACAATGACCCTCAACCAAAACAAGAAAGCCTATCTTAGAGTCTGGTCACTTTCCACCCAGTTTCCAAAATGAGACAAGACCTTGGCCTTAAATTCAAGTGTCCTCCTGGAGGTCTTTTTGACTCTAAACACGAGACTTAAATAAAGAAAACAATCTACACAGACCCTCAACCAAAACAAGAGTGCCATCATGTAGCGTCAAGCCAATGGAAGTCCAAAATGGTAGACAAGGGCTTTGCAATATATATTGTTGTTTTTGTTAAGTGCCATCTATTACTAACACCATAAATAAAAGACTTTAACTTTGTTCTATAACTATTTTTCTTTCTCTGAGTTTATAGAGTTTCCACAAGCATGTTTAAGAAATGGATGCCACTCCTGCTTCCAAGCCTGTCTTAATCTGTTAGCTAACCAGATATAGTCAACCATGTGTAACCATTATGGCACTTGATAGACCAATGGCACAATGTTCAGTATAACAGCAATCCACAATTAACTCAATACAGAGAAATAATAGAAGAGTGCTGTAATGCTTGGGAGTGTTCATTTCAAAAGTAAAAATCCCCCACAACTCCACTACCTAGAACCAATAATTATTAAAATTTCTGTGTATATCTTTACCAGGTATTTTTTATGCATACAAACAAGACTAAAATATTAAAACTGAGTTATATGATTTTGTAGTCTGTCTTTTGTTCCTTGCTGGCTACTTCGAGCTTTTTATTGTTTTATCTACATCAATAAATATACATCTCCACCCTATTTTAAGATCAGGCATTCATAATTTAGTAAGTTTCTAACTGCTAGAGACTTCTAAATTTATTATTTCGCCAACATCCACAGCCTGGGTAGCCTTGTCTTGGTACATCTCCTTTCTGTGAGATCAATATATCTGTTTTAGAAATTAAGATGTCTGTCTTGGCAACAGGTTTCAAACCTGCCCCTCCTCCTCGGAGGCTGTGAGACGTTTGGACAAGTCTGTTCTGTCTGAATCAGTTTCCTTTTAGAGACCAAACCCAATTCATGATGAATCTCCACTGGGTTTCTGACGCTGTAATTCTTTATGGGAAGAGACTGCCACATCGTTTTACCTTGGGGTAGTTGAAGAGTTGAAACTTCTGACTTCGCAGTTGGTAGCTCAGAGCTTAACCTACTGCGTCACAAGCTGTTGTTGTGTGCCATCGAGTCAGAATCGACCCAAAGCTGACCCTCCAGAGGATTTTCAGAAGCAGTAAATTGCACAGAAGTAGATTGCCTGTCTTACGCCCAAGGAGCAGCTGGTTGATTTGAACTGTACTTTTGCATTGACAGTGTCACCAGAGTTCCTTATTATTACAGATCAGATCAGTTCACTGCTGCTGAGTTGGAGCCAGTCATAGCTTCCCCTCTGGTGGGTTTTCAGAGGTTGTACATTACACTGAGGACGTTGCCTATCTTTCTCTCTCTGAGCTGCTGATAGATTTGAACTGATCACCTTTAGGTTAGCAGTGCAACTCCCTGAGTCCTACGCCACTGAGCTCCCTTATCATTATAGATAAAGGGAAGAAAAGAACAACTATTCCCCCAGGGTTGTAACAGAGCTCTACAGAGGCTGATGTTCAAGCAGGACCTCTGGCCGTGCCAGCTACTGTCATGAGGTCTGAGGTTTCCAGAGCCTGGCGACAGTGCCCCCTTCTGCTGCACTCTGAGCCCCACTCCTTCTCTGGGCAAGTTATCCATTCAAGGGTACAGGACTAGGGTATTGAAAACTATTGTTCTCAGGGCTTCATGTCGTCTGACTGAGCCCTGGTGGTGTGGTGCATTCTGTGAATTCACCAGCTGCTTCACTGGGGACAGACAGGCTGTCTCCTTTTCAAAGACTGACAGCTTCAGGAGCCTGGTGGAGGGTCGCTATGAGTCAAACTTGACTTGACAGAAGTGGGTTTGGTTTTTTTGCGGGGTTGATAAAATCTGGGTTTGAAGAAATGAGGCTGCTGCTTTGCCCAAGTGACAAGGGTAAGGTGGGAGGGTGACCGTAGGGTGGCATTTCCTATGTAAAGCCTAGACATGTTTACTTGCTCACTGAGTCTCTGATGTGTATGTGTGCTGAAATTTTTTCTTCCTCTCTGTGACAGTTATAGCTTTATCTCCTAACTCCTTCTTATCCCTTTCAGTGCAGTGTCCCCTAGACTTTCTATGCAGTGTCATCTCCATTCCTAATTCTCTTCCATCGCTCCCTTGCCCAAATCACAGTAGCTGTCTTTGCTCCATAAACAACCCTTAGGATGCTTTTCCATATTCTAGGCATCTCTAAGGTCTCAGAGAGTAGTTCTCAACCCTGGTAACCCACCTGGAGCATCAGTATGACCCTACACCTTGAGAGGAGCTCTAAGAATCTAACAATGTCCAGGATCCATGGAGAGAAGAATGCCAAGTGGAGACAGCCAGTGAGATCTGGCACTGACTTTCTATAGCTTCCTAGCTGACTGTAAATGGGCAACCAGGGTTCAGAGGCAGACCAGGCCCTCACCAATGACATTGCAGCAGCAGCAGCAGCAGCAGCTTCCTGGCTGGCCTTTATGGCTCCATCTTCACTACCCGCTCCCACCCTTTTAGACACTTGTGCATACAAAGCCCTGTGTATTTTCTACACCTACTGGCAAAACTCACTTCAATCACTCTCAGAAATAATGGCTTCTTACCCTCACATTCACGCTCTCCAACCCTTTCCTGCCAAATAGCTACTCTTCCAGAGGATGCTGCTTTAGAATTATCACTTTAGCTGGAAGCAGCCCCCCTCTGGGCATCCTCTCTTCCTCTGCCTCACATCTCACTTGTGCCTGCCTTGTCTGGAGTGAATGCTGTTTTTCTCTACTTACCTGACTCCAATGCCACAGCAATCTAGGTTCTTCAGCCAACCCCACATCCCTAGAGCCACCTGAGCAGTTTTGGACAGATAGACCAACTGTTCATCTCCATGGGGGTGGCCTCCATGCCCCCTACCTAATTGTCATCTCCATTGGGGTGGGAGGGGTGTATCACATTTCCTTTAAAGCTCCCTAAGAAGGCCAAGGTCACTGTTAATGCTTTCCATAAATGCTACTCACCAACTTACTCCAGAATCTTCATGCTAAAAGGGAGGAATTTAGGCAATGACTTACCTAAAACCTTCAAATAAATTGTTTTTACCAACACGTTTACTCCACTTTTGTTAAAAATTTCTGCTGTGTAGATATTGTCAGAATTTCTGGTCAGATTTTTAATTTCCAGAGTTCCATTTTCGAAGACCTCATATATTTTACTTGACTGAGGTTGCATGCCTCTTTTGAATTGTCCAATCTTGGTCTTGTTTTGTCCCATGTACCATCGGACATTATCCATATCATCCAGAGATGGTTCGTCGGTATTTAAATCTGGACCGTCCAGATGGATGTTGTGGTAGAGTTTGCCCCATTGGCTCACAGTCTTTTCAGGGACTGCACCTATGAAAAGCAAAACAGTGAAGTCTGAGCAATGGTAACTTCTACTAGCTTCCCAGTTGTTTCTAAATGGACACTTGGGTTCAGAGTCACCAACCAGCCCCTCTTCATTTAGATGAGAGGAGCCGCTTCCTGGCTGGCCTTTCTGTCTTCATCTTCACCACCCGCTCCCTGCCAAGGCTGAGCTGTGGCTTCTTTGGCTTCTACATTTACATCAGAGCCTTCAAAGAAATTTCTCACTGATATAGTGGAGACCTACATAGCAACTTACCTTCGGTGGGAAAGTTGTAAATCAGAAGGCAGCTGGCTAAAATTTTACATGGCAGGCTCATTGTTGGAGTGAGCTTCCTTGTTGTGACTCTGTGACCTTCTTGCAAAAGGAACTGAAGCTGGGCTGGTGGAACTCACTCCCTGAGACATGAACCACGTGCTTCTGTCTCTCTCTCTTTTTTTTTCTCCTTTCTTACAGTTGCGTAGAACGTAAATACACACACATACCGCCACCCCCAAACCAACCTTTCTGGCAAGCACTTTGCCAAAGCAGATGGTTTTGTGTTTTTCCTTATCACATTTTAATCTCAAAGCAACTTTGGGTGGATTTGATAATTTTCATTGAAGAGACAAAGAGCTGGTAAGCTAAGTGCTTCACCTTGGATCACCCTTTAGAAAATGAGGAGATGAATTTAACTAGGTAGCCTGTCTCCTATCCACTCTGCTGTATGCCTTAGATAAGACCGTATAGAAATATGGGTGAATGTCGAAAGTGAACAGTAGAATACTGATTTGTATCTTGTGACTATATATATACTAAAATGAATAAATATTAAATAATTGAAATTGTTTTCTATTTCCCAAAAGTTGTTTTTAAAATTCTAAAATCATTGCCATAAAAGAAATAAAAATTTGGGTTGATTCTTGGTTGTGAAAGTTTATAATCCCCAAATCTAATGCTTAGCATATATTTTACAACACTATTGAAACAGAAGAGATAAGTAGAAGTTTATTCCAACACAAAAAGGCATAAACCACAGCCAGAGAGTCAATTCTGAACTGTGGCAATGCTGTAAGACAGCAGAATGGTCCTTAGGTTTTCCAAGATCGTAAATCTACATGGAAGATGGCTTCATCTTTCTTCTGTAGAGAAGCTGGTGAGTTCGATTACTGACCTTTGGCTAGTGATAAAATTCTTTAAATATTATACCACCAAACAGACAAAACAAAAACCCCAAACCCAGTGCCACTGAGTTGTGTCCAAGTTATGACAACAATCCTTCAGGTTTTTAAGATTGTAAATCTTTGCAGGAGGAGAATGCCCATCTTTCTCTCCCAGAGCAGCTGCAGGATTCAATCCACCAGTGTTTGCCTTAGCAGCCTGTCTTGTGATGCCCTATACAAGCAGGTTTTCTCTAGAAGTATTAACCAAAAAAATAACAACTCATTGCTGTTGAGTTGGAATTGACTCAGAGGTTTTTAGAGACGAAATCACACACGAGGAGATTGCCCATCTTTCTTCTGCAGAACAGCTGGTGGATTCAAACTTTCTGCCATTGGGTAAAAGGCATTGTTGTTAGGTGCCCTGTGAACAACAGATCTAACTTCGCCCTATCCTGTGTCATCCTCTTAGTCTCTGACACCCTTGAGCCCACTGGTACAGTCCTGTGTCAATTCATTTGTTGCAGGTCTTTTAGTCTTTCTCTTGATCCTCCACCTTTCCTAAAATGACATCCTTTGCCAAGGACTGACCCCTTCTGACAACATACCCAAAGCATGTGATATAAAGCTCCATTATCCTTGCCTCCAAAGAGCATCTTGGTTGCACTTCTTCGAGACAGACATGTTCTTCTGACAGTCCAAGGGATATTCAGTACTTTTCTCCTGTAACACTACTCAAAGGCATATATTCTTCTTTCAGCTTTAATTCACTGCCCAACTTTCAGAATTTTTCAGGAAGAAGAACTTTTCCAGATCTTCATGCTTACTGTTGAAGTTCTTCAGGAGTTTAGCAGGCAGGAAAACCTCAATGCTCATATGTCATCAGTATTTCAGCACTACCTTGCACTTGCTAATCAAGCCTTGAGTTGGAACTTTCTTCCTCCAAATTATATCCTTTTATTGAGTGAGTAGTTCATTTATTATAATTTTCAGAAGTTATTTAATTACTACTCATAGTAGCAGGGTCTTGGGAGACTTAGTGTCATCTAAACACAGCCTCTGGCTTCTTAAAGAGCAGCAGTTATGAGGGCTCCGGGCACTGGTGGTATTCTTTTTGCTCCATGTGGGGGTTGGCAGAATGGACTTGTCAGATGAACTGAGGATCAGTGGCCCAGAGTTTGCCAGAATTGGCGGGGTGGGGGGACCAGGATGGTAAGATACTGAAGTCTTCCATTGTTCTTGTTCAAACATTACTCTAGGTCATATAACCCTGGTGTGTTCACTTGCTGTACAGCAGTAACTTGTGGTTGCTGTGAGGCTGAACACTAAGACACTGATGTGTCAAATGCATTAATGGTTGTTTGCAATGCAGACAGTGTGGGGTGGAACATCCCAATTAAAACAAGCTTGGAAGCAAGAGTGGCATCCGCTTCCGTAATAGCTTGCCTCTGGAAACCCTATGAACCTGGAGAGAGGATGAAAGGCACCCAAGCGTTGAGGACTATCCTTCATAGGGTCGCTATGAGTTGCATTATGAGTCGCCTGCAACTCGTCGGCACTTGACGACAACAACTCTCAGATATATAGGAAATATTTTAAAAGACCATGGCTGGGATCAGTCCCACCTTAGATATTATTACTGTTTTGCACTTTTGGAGAGGTCTTTGACAACTAATTTTCCCAATGCTGATTTCTTGTTGGTTGTTTCCCAGGATGTCTGTCAATGGGGGATTCAAGTAAAACGTAATTGTTGACAACTTCAAAATTTTCTCCATCTATGTAAGATGGTGCAACCATTGTGGAAGGTGGTGTGGCGCTTTCTCTAAAAATTGTGAATAGAGATACCATTTGACCCAGCAATCCCATTACTGGGAATATACCCCAGAGAGACCATGTCTGCCATCCAAGCAGATATATGCACACCCATGTCTATTGCAGCTTTGTTTACAATAGCAAAGAGTTGGAAGCAGCCTAAGGGCCCA